AGACATTTACGCACAGTGTTGCAGACACTTCGAGAACATCAGTTGTTTGCGAAGTTTGAGAAGTGTGAATTTTGGCAGAAATAGGTCAAATTTCTGGGTCATGTAGTGTCAGAAGAAGGGTTAGCAGTAGATCCAGCCAAGGTTGCGGCCGTTATGGAGTGGGGACAGCCTACCTCACCGACAGAGATTCGCAGTTTTCTGGGATTGGCGGGGTATTATCGCAGGTTCATCCAGGGATTTTCCAAAATTGCGGGTCCACTTACTCATCTGACTAAGAAGAATGTACCATTTGTATGGGATGATTCTTGTCAGACTACTTTTGCTGAATTGAAGAGTAAGTTAACTTCTGCACCTGTCTTAGCCACACCTCAGAGTGGAATCGAGTATTTAGTATTTACCGACGCTTCTCTGAAGGGTTTGGGTTGTGTGTTGATGCAAGAAGAGCGACCAGTTTCTTATGGGTCTAGGAAGCTTAAGCCTCATGAGCTTAATTACCCGACTCACGATCTAGAGCTCGCAGCAGTGGTTTTTGCCTTGCGTATTTGGAGGCATTATCTTTTGGGGGAGACTTTTCGATTGTTTAGCGATCATAAAAGTCTACAGTATTTGTTCACACAGAGGGAACTGAATATGAGACAGCGCAGATGGTTGGAGTTCGTGAAAGACTATCATTTCTCTATTCAGTATCATCCAGGGAAAGCGAATGTTGTAGCAGACGCACTCAGCCGCCGACCCTATGTCAGCCTTTCAGCTTTGTTTGCAACAGAGTGGGATGCTTTGAAGAATGTTGATGAGTTAGCAGACGCTTTTATGGCATGTGTGGTAGTAACTCCTTCTATCATTCATCAGGTCATTCAAGCGCAACTCTCAGATCAACAGTGTATTGATCGGGTTTCGGAGTTAGCCTCCGGAGATGTTCCTTTTTATTCTATAGGGACTGATGGAGGATTGAGGTACAAGGGATGTTTAATTGTGCCTTCAGCTGACAATTTGAGAAATGTTGTGATGAGAGAGACACACACTTCTCAGTTCTCTGTACATCCAGGGGGAGACAAGATGTATCAGGACATGAAACGCCAGTTTTGGTGGGTCGGCATGAAGAGAGACATAGCTATCTTTGTCTCTAAATGTAGCACCTGTCAGATGATTAAGATTGATCATCAGAGACCGCCAGGATCGTTACAGCCACTTCCCATACCAGAGTGGAAATGGGAGAGTATTTCCATGGACTTCATAGAGGGATTACCTACTTCACAGCATAATCACAACTCTATTTGGGTCATTGTTGATAGATTGACCAAGTCCGCTCATTTTCTGCCTGTTCGTTCAAACTTTACGTCAGAACAGTATGCTAAGCTTTATATTGCAGAAATGGTGAAACTTCATGGCGTACCATTATCCATCGTATCAGATAGAGATCCGAAGTTTGTATCAGGATTTTGGAGGAGCTTTCAGCAGGCTTTGGGTACAGAACTTTATCTTAGCACTGCTTATCATCCTCAAACAGATGGACAGACTGAGCGAGTTAATCAGATTTTAGAAGACATGTTGCGGGCATGTGTTCTTGATTTTAAGGGCAATTGGGAGGAATATTTGCCGCTTTCAGAGTTTGCTTATAACAATAGTTATCAGAAAACTATTGGTATGGCACCATTTGAGGCTTTGTACGGTAGACCGTGTAGGTCTCCTGTCTGTTGGCTTGGAGTTGGTGAGAACAGCTTTTTGGGTCCTGAATTTATTAAGGACACGTCAGAAAAGATCGCTATCATTAGGGATCGGATGCGTACAGCTCAAAGCAGATAGAAAAGTTATGCTGACTGTCGAACTCGTGCTTTGGAGTTTAAGATTGGAGATCAGGTTTTGCTTAAGGTTTCTCCCCTGAAGGGAGTAATGCGGTTTGGGTCAAAGGGTAAGTTATCGCCTCGTTTTGTGGGTCCTTTTATGATTACAGATTGGATTGGGGCAGTAGCTTATCGTCTGGCTCTACCAGATAATCTTCATAGGGTACATAATGTTTTTCATGTATCTATGCTGCGAAAATTTCTACGGAAAGAAGATCGATATCAACACATAGATGTGGGTGAAATTGAGTTGCAACCCGATGCAACCTATTTGGAACAACCTTACTGTATTCTCGATCGTAGGAATCAGATACTGCGCACGAAGACTATTCCATTAGTACGTGTACAGTGGAGTCATCATAGTGCTACAGAGTCTACTTGGGAACGGGAAGATATTATCCGTGCCAAGTATCCAGAGCTTTTTAATACAGGTATGTAGTGAATTTCGGGGACGAAATTCCTTTATTAGGGGGGGGGGGGGAGAATGTAATACACCGTAATTTTAAAGAGTTTATTTAAATTAATTTTGTGTTAGGTTAATTCTTTAATGTGTAAATTTATTCACCTTTTAATTATATATGTTAAATTAGTTAATTAATTTTATTTATTTGTGCATGTAATATTGATTTTTTTGTTCTATATATTATAATGATTAGTTTAGACATTTTATTGGTTATGTTTTAGATTAATTAATATTATTTAATTTGTATTTAATAATAATAATATTTATAATAGTAATAATTATAACAGTTTATTAATAATAAAAATAATAATAATATTTATAATAAATAATAATAGTATTAAATCAATGTAATGATGAAGAAATTAAATCTTAGGATAGGATTTACCTTAGGACATCTTGCTTGACTTGGCTTGCTAGCCTTAAAGCCTTATGGTTGGGAATGTGGTTAATTAAATGCAAAAATAGATATTTGTAATATTTAAATTATATAAGTTATGTATATATAGAAGTTAGCCCTTTAGTTGAGGATTCACATAAGTTGAAGAAGGAAATAATAAAAGTGAGTTCTTGTATAAGACCGAAAGGAAAAGAGAGAAAGAAAGGAGCCTGGACCGGTGTAGGGAATTTACCCGATTACGCGCAACCGGCGGATTTATTTTAAATCCAAAAAGGCAAGTTATTATCTACTTTTCCCCTTTGAATTAATAAATTAATTGTTTAGTTTATTTGTATGCATAGAGCCAAGGTTAGTAGATTAATAAATTATAAATTTTATCTTATTAAATTAATGAAATTTTAATTATATAGGATGGTATATATTTATTTAATATCCTATGAAATTAATCATGGCCGAAAATAATTAAATAAAGCTTTAGGGATTTTTCTAGAATTTTCTAGATTTTTTCGGGGCTTTTCTGCAATTTCCGGCGACCTTCCGGCGAGTTTTCCGGTCGCTGGCAATGGGGGAGATGACCGGAGTGATCCGGTGTGATGCGGCACACCATAGGAGGGTATACGCGCGCATCTGGACCATTAAATAGCAGCGATTGATCCGGTGCACCGCGGTCCATGTTACCGCGGTACACCCGGATCCGTGAGCGTTGGATGGAGGGAAGGTAGGTGGATTGATCCTGTGTGGCGCGCATGTAGGAAAGATGATGCAGCCAACCAACCGGAGGTCGCTGCGTTAGCAAGGAACCATTAGTGCGCGCGTGGCAGCGCGTGCGCGCGCGTGACTAATTCCAGACGCGCGTGGGAGCGCGTGCGCGAGCGTGGAACTCTCCAAACGCGCGTGGAAGCGCGTGTGAGCGCGTGGGAGAGTGGAAAAGCTTGGCGGCGCGTGTGGGGAGCTCTGGGAGGCGCGTGGGGGCGCGTGAAGGGCCTCTGCAGTTGCTGAAAAAGTCCAGAATACCCCTAGGGACTGTTTTGTCATTACCAGGACCTTCACTATACATTTTGGGCCTCGGGTTGGCATTTTTGGAATTAACGAGACATTATATTATTATTTTATTTCTCGTTAACTATTATAATGGTCCGATTAATATTTCTAAATATTAATTGTATCAATTAAAGGGTGAATCGCTAGTAAACGTATGTAATGAAGTTAAACGACTATAAATGGTATTATTATTTATTTAAACTGTAATAAACCATTAATGTTAAGTTAATTAGTGCTTGGTTTCATTCATATAAATGATCCATTATATATTATGGAATAGTTATATTGTTAATCGTATATAAACCATGATTATTATGCTGTGTGCATTTCAGAGAATAAATGGACTGTTTAAATTATGTCGCATTTATATTATATGGATGTGTTGCCATATAGAACCATGTGAGCTGGCTAATAAGTTTAGACTCATTTATACCTTATGCATTCGTTGCTATAGACAGATGTGTGGCTGTCGGGGTATGTGGTTTAATATTATTGGCATGTGTTGCCTAACTGACATACTCGGTATATTTATTAATATTGTTGGCATGTGTTGCCCAATTGATACGCTCAGTATATTCATCAGTACTTTGGGAGGTGTTATCACTGTGTAGTTCGTTATAGTCTGTGTTGTCAGTACCGTGCACCATGTATAATTGCTGATTTCCCGGGTAGGGAAAGGCGACACTTAACCACCTAGTGTGAGTCTAAGTGATCACCGTCTATTCTGGTTGAGGTCATGTTATACATTGGATAGTTCCCTTAGGATGTATACAGATATAGTACTCATCCGATTCATAGTGATTAATTTATTTGATTCTCTGATTTGGGTCATAGTAGAGAGGACTTGCTCGTGGGGTTGACCCACCATTGTTGTTATTTCAGGATACGGTCAGTACCCGTTCCAAGGTTGAGGTTAGCAGTGTGGGACCACCATCCGAACTCATCTACTCTTACGATCCAGTTCAGGGTAGAAGTTTTACGTATTACTTCAGTTTCAGTTTTTATTTGCTTTTGACGTTGAACCCTCAGGTTTATATTTAGGGATCCTTGACATAGGATTTCCAAGTTGTAATGGAGTACTGTATTTAAATAAAGGATGGATGGATGTTGTATTATTTAGTGTTCCTTTCCTGTCTAAATTCTTTTATTATCATCATTTTGTATTCCATGCTTGTATATTGCCAATTGTTTTTTGATATCCCTCGTTTTTCGTGTATAAGCCTGATCAACTTATGCGTGGAAAATGTGGGGGTGTTACAGTCAGCGTTCATGTGCTTCCGCGCTCTAACCATCAACTCTGTCATGCTTGTAGGGGCTTCCTTTGATAAGGAAAATAGGAACTTAGAAGTTTGTAGTCCTCCCATAAAGGCTGTGAGGGCAACCTTGTCGTCCACCTCTTCAACTTGCAGCATTTCAGTGTTAAAATGACTTATGTAATCACGAAGGGACTCTCCCTTCTGCTGCTTCACATTAAGTAAATGTGTTGCTGGTCTCCTGTGTTTCTGCCCAGCAATGAAGTGTCCTATGAATTGTTTGCTCAACTCTTCAAAGTTTTCAATGGAGCCTGGCTTTAATTTATTGAACCAAAGACGAGCCCAACCCTTGAGTGTGGTAGGGAAAGCCTTGCACATAATATCGTCCGGTACGGCTTGCAAATACATAAGAGCTTTGTAGGTCTCCAAATGGTCGAGAGGGTCCCGCGTCCCATCGAAGCTCTCAAGAGTTGGCATCTTGAATTTTTTAGGTAGAGGACAACTCATAACAGCTGGGCTAAAAGCTAGGTTAGTCTTTTGTACCATATCGTTCACTGCAGCCTGGCCCTTCCCTTTTATCGCTTACATGACATCGTCAACCTTGGCTTTCAGATCCTGCAACTCTAGATCGAACTGAGTGGCGTCCTCAGTCTTGTCTCCAACATAACTAGAAGTATCTCCACGGAGCCTGGTGGTATTCCATTCAGGGGACCGATGGTGATGGCTCCTCTGTTGACCCCCTATTTGACTAAGCTCAACATCGTTGTTAACCCTACGGGAGTCATCGTTGGGTACTTCACTGTTTCTCTCCTCGTTGGGGGCGGCTAAGCGTTGCAGAATCATCGCATTTTGCTGGACTAACTGGTTCACCAGTTGTTCCAACGCTGCGACGCGTTCCTGATCATTTGGGACGACGGGGGGTTGCCCCGTTGAAGTCCCTGCATCAGAAGCCTGCAACCCTTCGCCCTCGCCAGCAGCCAGACCAGATCGTAATAGAACCATGCTTTGTTTAGAGAACAAAAATAAGTTCCCACAGACGGCGCCAACTGTTGAAGATGGATTCTGCGCAACCCGGATCTGATCTAACTTCCTGAACAGAGAGAAGAAAATGAGATCCTATAAGCACCGGTGTGTTACCGGTGGAGTATGCTCCGATGAATAAGTCAATGTGTGAACTAATCTCTTAAGAGAAATCAAGAACTTGAGTTAGGGTTTTTTGCGTACCTCCAAACGTCGATTAGCCCTCCCTATTTATAGGACTTGGGTCAGGATGTTACGTAACATCCACGTCGTCCTTAATCCTTATCATAATCTGTTGGCCTAATCCTTATCGTATTCTGTAATTCTTATCGTAATCTGTAACCCTTATCTTAGTCGTAGTCTTTATCTTAGTCTGTAGAGCCTATCTCAATCTTATGAGATAGCGCGTTACTTTAACGATCTTCCCCTATCCACGGGTAATTAAATTATAATCATCATAAATATAAATCTGTAACCTAACAATTTGATCCACAAGCATAGGAGAGCAAATGGGCAACCCCTAGCAAGTGTCATCATGTTGAAAATTTGTCCTCGGTTAACCTTATTTATTTAATTTTGTTTTTGGGTAAATTGTATTGACATCCCTCAGGTTTGAATTAAAGAGTCATCTACAACTTAATCACTTTTTATACAATGACACCTCTAGGTTTGATAAAATCACTCTAACCATGATAGAAGTACATACTTGCCATTTGAATTTTGAATGGACCTATGTGATTCATTAAATTACCTTTATAACTTCCTATTAATTGACCAAAATGGCCCTCAAGAATGAAAAACAAATATGATTTTATTGTGACATGTTTTCTTTTTCTTTTTTCTTTGTTTTTGTTTTTGTGGAAGAAAAATGTGACATGTTGTGTAAGTAATGTTTCAATAAACACTAAGAAATAAAAAGATTAGTTTGTGTGTGATTAGATATTTAATATTTGAATATTAAAAATATTTAATATATTACTATGGAATAATAAAAAAAAATATTTAGAAATTAAATTTTTTTGAAATGGAAAGTCAGAGTTTTGTATTAGAATTTTGTTTAAGTATTAGAGAATATAACTCATCCATCTATTTTAGTTTGCTTAACCTAGATGAGTAGTACCAGGATAGTGACCCGTGAAAAATCTCTGATTTGGGTGAGCCAAAAACGGATAATATTGTGTCTAGCTAGGATGGGGTTGTTACATTTGCTTTATCATGAGATTTGACGGTCCGAAGTATTAAAGTAATGTTATATTGGGTTTGAGGTTTTTAATTTTTTCCCACTTTATCCTTCTTTATGTAATTTTGTAAACATGATCTACTCACTATTAATATCATATTATATATTAATTTCCTGCATTAATGTATTATAATGACAGTATTAATAATAAATACAAATTAATATAATAATTGTGTTAATTATTTATTTATTTTTTTACCTGGCAAAGAGGGATAGGGAAAGGATGGAGGAAAATTAGGAAACAGTTGTAGATAAATCATAAGTTTAATAGCTGTTATTGTATGATTATGTATTTAATACGCTACGTTACATATATACAAGCATATATAGCTTCAAATATGGACAATACTTGTGAGTAGGAAGTACATGCTTACTCCTCCTGATGTAGCGCAAAGGTAATGTGACAAGTGTCCCTAAAATAGAAAATAATAAAAATTAAAAAATTTGAATGCTTATCCGCTCAATCCAAATGGATGTTTGGATGCAAATCAAATTCTAATTTAACTCTCCATCTCTTTCTCTTTCTTAAACTATTCCGCCAAAACCTTAATCTGTTAATAGTGGTATTTAATAGATAATTCTTATATATACTTATCAATTATTTTTATCTAAAGTACACTAAATTACATAAATTCTTATTCACATGATTTCATATAGATTGTTATTACTTATTTATGATCTTTTTTTTTCTTTTGGCAGAAAGCAAATATCTATGTATTATTACATTTATAATTATTCTTTTTATTTATCATTCAGAGTTTTGTTTGTATCTTCTAATATTATTTTATTTAAGAATTTTAACTTAAAATGTTTTTTTTCGATAAAATCCCCTTCTCATTCACTCCCGGACAAAATGAGTAGCGTTGAGAGAGGGGAAGAGAGTTTGAATTGGATCACATTGGGTTTAATCTAAATAACCTCTTAAATCTTTTAATTTTTATTATTTTATATTGTAAGGACACGTGTTTTACTAATTTTTGTCCATGATATCATGGGTAACCATCTACTTTCTAGTCACCAGTGAGTAGGTAAGTATTGTACTTCAGATATAGGCTAAGTGGAAACGTAAAACCTACGCCATATATGAATGTATATGTATATTTATAATCGGTGTGTATATATAGCTTCAAATATAGGCTGAGAGGAAACGTAAACCCTACACCTATGTATGTATATAAAGAGGCGATGAAATAAAATTGGGCAAGGTGTTCATGGGCCGGAATACCTGCCGTCGGAGGCAAATACTACGTGCAAGAGAGAGAAGAAATTGATGAAATTAAGCCATTGAAGATTGAAGAAAAGTGTGACATTGAAGACCCTCAAGGATTTAATTTATTGATCGATCTCAGGGCCGGCCTTGATCATATCAATTAAATTAAATCCCTTGGGTCTTCACTTTCTCACTTCTTAATTGTGGCTATTCCATCACCATCATCAAATTAAGGGTACCATATTCTTTGGTATGATTATCTTTTCTTTTCCTGCATATTTGGTTATTTTATAATATAGTCTGTAAGATTATATATATATATGCTTGCTTGCTGCTTCTTTTCTTTAAGGTGGTCAGATTATAATGAATGAATGAATGTTTCATTGTCATACAGCTTAAATTTGATACTCTCAAACATAGCATATGCATGTCTTTCTTTTGATTGAATATTTAGGATTGTGTTTTGAGGTTCACTTGGTGTTGTGTGTCATATAGTACAAATCTTAAGTTGTTTTGTTTTATGATCCATTATTGATGTTCTGTTGTGTAGCAAAGGAATATTTCGTATGATGTATATTGTCATTAGATGCATGACGATTTAAGTTTTGATCCACATGGATGTCTTTGATGATAACTAATTGCTTATTGGCAATTGTTTTATGATCCAATTTTTTATGTTCTGTCCTGTGACAATGGAATTAATTGGTTTCGTCTGTCAAACAGGGAACTTCTAATTAAGGAAATTTTACATAAAAAAACTGGTCTGTTACATGACTCCTAAGACCAGAGGTATTTCATTTTAATAGTTAAAAACCTTTCCAACAAAGATTTCCTTATAGGTTAAGGAGGAGAATTTACAAATGGAAGTAAAAGAAAGTAGGAGGAATTAACCAAAGGTATCTAACCTAATGGTATAACCTCGAGAATGAAAGGGGCTCGAGCCAAAGTGTGGAAGAAAAGTACATGTGAAGTAAAAAAAAAAAAAAAAACAGACGTCTTTTGGATAGTATATCTTGGGACTAGTTAGAAATTAATTAGAGAGAAAATGTGATAAAATAAAATGGAGTGTCATGTGAGAGCCTGGGAGGGGCAAAGAAGAGGGTTTTCAAACGTTCTATATATGTTCACAAAATGCGTGTAAGAAATGCTGACGTTGTTTTTTTGGTATGTAGCACAAAATAACTAAATAAATAAAGACAACATATGTATGAAAACATTCATGGAACAGTAAAATTAGCACAAATTGAGGACAAAACGAGAGAAAAACCAACTAGTTGGTTTAGCAATATACACTACAAATCAATAAGTACACAAGTGAAAAGATAAAATAAATAAATAAATAAGGAGAATAATGAGAAGGGGAAGATCAAAATGAACAAGGTTTAAGATGGTTAAGAACATGGCTTAAATAGAACTATGGATTGAACAGCAATGAAAAAACATGATCTATTGAGTTGAGTCTTGTCATTTCTGCTTAGTCCAACTATTCAAACTCTAGCATGGGCATGTATTGCACATGATCATTATATTTAGAAACAATAACTACTTGGTCTCTTGTAACATTGCATTACACAACAAACTTGATCAAATGTAATATGAGACTCTAATTAATTGTTTCATATGACTCTCTCTGCCTAGATGAGGTATTAAGCTAATTTGCATGTTGTGTGAGAGGCCACACTTAGTAGGAGTACAGAACTACAGATAGATGTACGTGAGGCCACAGAGAAGCTGAGAAGTTATGAACTAATGTTTTAGCAGAAGGTACTCCCCCAAACATAAGTGTAAACAACAAACTGATATATGCAAATCTGTAAATCATAACATTAGTGGTAGAACCAACATCAGTAATCAATTCATATACAGAATTTTTATCATGAAAACCTTCTTAGTTTAGGTAAAAACTATAAAACCCCCAAATTCGAAATGCTCAGCCTAAACAAAGGGCACGTAATCACGACGAATTAATGTTATACACCAACCAGTAAGGGATAATTCATAGCTACAGTCTACAGATCCCATCTATGTATTCAATATATATAATGTAGACATATATTATATATCATCTACATGCAG